AAACCAGGAGGTCATTTATGCTGCTCTCTGGGGCCAAAAACAGGGCAAGGCCCAGAGGTAATAAATGATCTTTGAGTCTGGTAAATTCACGAAGTGGCTTCAGCTGCTGTAATTAGCATCTTCCTGGGTCAGCAATATTTTGGGTCTCTGCTAAGAGAAGGAGGAAGAGGAAAGAGAACAAAGCAGAACTTCATTTCTTTACAACAGAATCCTCTACACTAAAAAGCTTGCCAAAGCTTAAATGGATGGCACAACAAAAACACGTGGAGCGACGTGATGGTGAGGACAGAGCATTGGGAGGGTAACCTTCCGGTATGAGGAACTCCAGCGGCGATACTTGGGGCTCCTTGCCAACTGGTTGTTGAGTTCCAAACTCTGGTAGAGAAGATAGACTCCTTGAAGTGTTATTGACCCCACTGACTCCTAGGTCAGTTAGCCAAGAAGCCAAATACCAGGCTTGAGGGTTGTGCAACACCAGTCTAGAGACCCGGTTGTAGATGCAGACAGAAGGCCAGCGTTAGGCAATCAGGAGCCAGAGCATGATCAGGAGGGTCACAACAGGAAGAGGCGTGACAGGAACTGCTCATCTGCATACTGGGGTGTCCCAGGGACAGCTGGAGGAGGCTGCCTATCATTTATGTTAATTGCTGTGGCAAGCATGTTAAAGGGGAACGTCACCAATTCCAGAAGACATCTGGAAGCCACCATCTCCAAATCCAGATCTTAGAAATGCCCCTCTATTCTTGAGCTCTGGTCTTCTCTCTGGGGTTCTGCTGCCCAGTGCTTCCTCTCCTGTAGAGTGGGATTGCCTCTTTGCAAACTGGACATATCTGTCTGTTACGTCTGGTCTCCAGCCACTGAGGTTAACACTGCCAACTGTCTCCCCGCAGGAGCGCAGGGGCAGCTTCCAGCTTATCAGTCTCTAACCTGCCGGTCCTACGCCTACTCAATCTGTGGGGCCAGACCTAGGACACCTCCTACGCGGTCCCCTCACGCGGAGCTGCCCCTCTAAGAGACTTCCGGCCACAACTGGCATTCTACGTGTGGTAGTCGGTTATTGGAGAATTTCAGAAGAGGACTATACGGTCTGTTTTGTGCTCTCTGCTTTAGAAACAACTGTTGTGGTTTGGAGGTTGTCCAGGGAAGAGAATGAGATAATATTGGAGGTAGGAAACTAGTAGATTAGAACTTGGAGGTAAAATTATTTTTTCAAGGTCGCTTGGACACTAAGGATTAGCAGGATAAGTGGTTTTTCTCTTCATCAATCAAGGTCACACAGAAGGCCTGTGACAAAGGAGGTGGTATACTATATGATATCTTCTGGTTTTCAGAATAATGTATCTTCAAGCAAATAGAAATAATACCAGTGTAATACCTCCTGGGGCTTAGAAACAGTTTACTGATTGTCTTTTATTAATGTGACTAGTATGAGGAAATTAAATCTGTATACCTTTTCTCCTTTGCTCTTGTTTGGTTTTACTATATTTAGTTTTACCTTATTTCTTTTCTTTTTTTGTGTAATTTGGCTAGAGTTGCTGATGATTTATATGCTGAATCACTTCTTCCTAATTATGGGTTGTTGGAGGTTATTTTAAACATTTTTTCACCATGTCAAATTTGTATTATGAGAACAATTCAAAGAGAAGAATTTTAGAACTAACTTTTGAATTAAGCTTCTTCAATAAATAAATATGTACAGAAAATGGGAAAAATTAGATTTTACATTAATCATATGCTGTTCTGTCTCTGTCTGTCTGTCTTTGTCTCTCATTTATTTTTTATTTTGAGACTAGGTCTCACTAAGCTGCCCAGGCTAGTCTTGAACTTGCAGTCCTCCTGCCTCAACTTCCCTCCCCAGTAGCTGAGATTGCAGGCAAGCACCACTGTGCCCAGATCATAGTTTCTTAATTAAAACTAAGATCTTTAAAGTATCTGTAATATTCTCATTAAGAATAAAATATTTCAAGCCCAAATGTTTTTAAAGTAATGAAACTACATGCTAGTATCATCCTATAATTAAATAAAATAGTTTTGTCTGGTATTATGGGAACATTTGTGAGACAATGCACATTATAATTGGTCTCTGTAACCCTTTGATCCTGGAATTAACATAACTCATCCTTAGAAACTTCACAGAGAATTTCAGGGAGCTCCTCAGTGTGCAACTAAACTACTCCGTGGAATTTTCTTCACATATCTGGCTCTCTCAACCATTTTTTTTGCTGGCATTAATTTGTTACCAACTATGTGTCAGGCACAGATGCAAAAAATGGAGGTGCAAAAAAGACTAAAAACAGCCTGTTCTCTAGAAGCTCACCACAAAAGATTAACATTCAATCACAATTACAATAAAAGTTGGAAGATAAAATGATATTCCACTTAGTATAATAGAAGCCAGCCCAGGAGCCCTGAGTCTGGTCCTGAAGCTATCCAAGAAGGCTGATGGAAGGAAGTGGCTGTAAACCAGCTTCTATCAGTCAGCCCAAGATGGGGTGTCGAGAATGGATTTTCACTCCTTCCCACATTATTTATTTGTGCTGGGGAGTTTTACGAGTGTATTATGTGAGTGGTTCCCAGCAGGGACCACCAAGAGTAGTGGGCTTTGTACTTGCTACTGGCTGCTACAGAATCTTCTGCATAATGAACCATAATTTGGTATTCAATGGTCCATAAAGAATGAGCCCATAGCGAAATCTCTGAAATGGAGCTCTAGCTTCATTTTGATTTTCATTTTATGAATCTCTCTTCCAGTGACACTCCCTCTTAATACATATAATCTTTTTCATTTTCTCCCCCTTCCAGTTCATTGCATTCCTTTTTTTCCTTCTTATTTTTTTTTTACTCATACTTCTTTCCCGTTTTTATAATTAAATTTACAAATGTTGCTACATAGAGAAAATGGATTGAGAGTATTTACATTGTGTCTGAGAAGCACCTGGCAGATACATACTATGAATCCTTTTCTGATACTCATTTAGCATCTTTACTTTGTCGCTCAAGTAGAGTTGTGAGGTTTAGAAAACCTTGAGGAAAGTGCTGCAACAACCAAGTACACAGCCTGTTTCTCAAACAGCCCTTTTTACGCTAATCCAATTAAAGCAGTATCAGCAGGAGCAATAGGAAAAGCTCATGCTTGGTCTCCTTTCAAAAATGGAAGCAGATCACATGGAAGATGAGTTTTACCAAAATAGTTCGCAATAGGGGGTCATGTCAGAACTGGGCCAGCATGAGTATTTTTGTTAATGTTTATTTTATAGCTCCTGCTAAGAGTAAACTATTCTTGGAATTTATTTGAACAGTTTAAGGGTTGTATAATCTCTCCTGTAGGTAAATAAAATTTTATTTAGTAGGCTACAGAACTTTGATCTCCTAGTTGTTAAATGATCAAGAGTGATTTAAAATAGCCACTTCCCAAGCTACTACATATTTCAGATGTTTTCATGTCTGTGCAGTGTATTACTATTGAGATGTTTGTGTGTATGTGTGCATGTGCACATGTGTGTGTGATCAGTTTGCAGAAGTGGGTATTTTAATATCAAGCTACTTAGAAGTAGATTTATTAACTATTTGACAATTTATGCCTACTATGGAAGCAATTGAACACATATTCAAAAATAAATACTGATTTACCCATTAAACTCAGCATTTACAACTGGAGATGTCATGAGGCTGTGCTGATTTGGAACAAAGTTCGGTGTAATGATGTTAGGACTTTTGGAAAAGATCCTCGTTTTCTCTTTGGTTTCCTTTCTTTCATAATATCATTTCCTGCCACTTACTAAGAGTTTAGAATGCATGACTTTAAAAAGGAATTTCTTACAGAAAGACACAAAGGATGATGTAATGAAAGTGAGCCGTATACCATTGGAGACACACAGTGATCTGGAGAACACTCAAGTCAAGGGTTTTGGATCTTATTGACCAATAAAGCTAAAAAATGGAATATCAACACAGAGATTTGTTACATAAGCCATTTAAAAACAAAGCTCCAAAAGACAGATTTATAGGATATATTTATATATGAAAATTCTCAAATGTATAATTGTCATTTTTTCAAAAGAAAGTAGATATTTCCCCATGGAAATGTAACAAGAATAAAATCTCAGAATGAATGAAACCCTTATTAAGAAACTGTGCTTTTGGTGACACTGCAATGGCATTTCCCTGGGGACTATAAAGAGGTTGCCAAGGACGGTCGTTCATCCTTGGTGTGTCTGTTAGGATCTGCTGTCAGAAATTCCGCATCATCAGCTTACTTCTCATCATTAGTGGTGCAGAGTTTTATTTCTTTTTAATAAATAAGAGAGTGCAATTTTACTTTTGTCTTTTTTCATGAAACTTTATTAAAGTTTTTAAGTGATTGATGAATGCATGAGTTAACATTATTTCACCAAACCTCTCTAGCTGCGGGTCATGTGGTGGAAAATATGTAAATGATATTCAGGGGTTTAAATATGGGTGCTTTGTTGCTCATCAATCTCAGTTCCTTTATTAATGAACATTTTTTTTCTTTCTCCCTCCTTATTTGTGGTGGTGGGAATTAAACCCATGGCATTGGGTATGCTAGGCAAGTGCTCTATCAGTTGAACTATACTCCCAGTTCTCTGATTTTTTTCCCTCATCTTCCTCAAGGAATCTTGCTCAACTAATGTGAATTCTATTATTAATTACAATTTTATTTTTTGTTCAAAGTGTACTTCAGCGTTCTAAAGAATTCCCCCTTAAAACTTATTTCTTGAAATCATTGAGGAATAGTATAAATAATAATATAGAGATTTTTTCATATCCTTAAATGGTGAATTTAAAGTTATCCAAATAAATTTTGGGAAATTATTAATGGCTGTGATGCAGAAAAAAATCTATAAATACACACATCCTTTGACTCCAATTCTTGTCACTTTTTAAAACTACTCTGGGATGTCTTTATAAAAATGAAAGGTAGAGAATGGTTTAATCATAGTTTCTTTTATTCTTCTTTTGGTTTTATTTATGGAAAATAGGCTACACAGCGGGCATCTTCAGTCTCACCCAAACTGAGTGAAACATCGTGTTCTGTTTCATCGCTGGAAAGTACAGTGAAGACATCAGGCAGCTCTGCTGCCTCCGGATCTAAAGAGAGACAGTCCTGGCTCGACATGGTTAATGGTTCACCTGCTGTGGAAGATGCTGGACTCTCCCAGACGTTTGCTGTGCAGGTTCATTTACTTGCTCCCTCAGAGGCAAACAGTTGCAAGGCCCCAGAAAACAGCTTTGTCACGGCTGAGAGTGGGCTTTTGAACTCCTTATCTAGTGATGACACTTCTTCGTTGAGTAGCAGTCAAGACCATCTGACTGTTCCAGACAAACCTACTGGATCAAGGATGATGGATGGAGGTATACTGAGAATTTATTTATGTTTCCTTAGAAAATGGGTATCTGTGTGTGTATTTAGATTGCTAAGGTGAATTTGTGAGAAGAATATTTAAACTCATGAATGATGATTTAGCAGTTAGTCAGACATGGAGTTTACTGTGACAACTGCAGTTGCCAGGCCACTAATTACTTGCTCTAAGTGTCACTAACCAAATGCTTTAGAACTTGAGACATGTGGCCATAAGATAGTGATACCTTCTTAGCAGTTTGTTTCCCTGTCCCATGCTCTGGAGTGTGTGAAGTTTAAATTGGGGTTTTGTCATCTTGTATTCATAGGATCACTTTGGTGTTTCCAAACAAGCTGAGCAATGCACATGGACCATGTCTAGTATGTAGCCTCCAGCTCCTCAGTGTGCCTAGGTGGTTAATAGAAAGGGATTTGCATGCATGTTGGATGGGAGCACTAGATCTTTAAATATAAAGGAGAACAAAGTTTACTCTTTTGAGAAACATGTTAAATCTTAGTAAAGAAAAGTTAATGGGGTATAGAAATCTTTTTAAATGCTCTATGATAATTCTTGTCTTTTAGTGAGTTCTAATGTTTTTATTACTACTATTCAGTCATGACATATCTTTCCTGATTATACTCATTTATTTTGGTATAAAACAAGGTTACCTGATAAAAGACACAGAGCAGTGAGACAATGATGAAGTTGATTGGGTTGAATTTTTGAGGGGATGACTGAAAGGAACTTTAGTTGCTACATTCCCATAATAACTAGTCAATACTGATTAATGACATAGATGACAACTCTGGTGTTTGTAAATTCTCAAATTTTCAGATGTGCCTATTAGTTTACTTTTCGACATAAGAGTAATTTAGGTCAACAATCACAATTGTAGATCCATTTGTGTGTGAAATATTTTAAAATATGTGAATTTAAATGCTCAGGCTGATAACTCATTCTGTAATTCGCCCCAGTTATTCTGACTCTCTGAGTGCTTGCTGGAAGGTGCTTTACCCATTTGAGTTACCTTCCTGGCCTATAATGACATTTCTATTTGATATCCTTCAATTTGGACTAAAAATATTTTACATTAGGAAAATTTCAATGAAGGAAGTCATGGGCAAGCTAACATACTTCGAGAGAGGGTTGACTGGCATAGAGAAAAGCAAGGGACCAGAGCCATTGAGGAGGGATCTTGGGAGGAGTGAAGTTTGGATTGCAAATAATGGAAAGAGAACTCAGCTGCCCTTTGATCTGTGAGCTGCTTTTGTGTGGACAACATGTTGGGCTTAATTATATTTCCTTGGAAGTACAAAATCAAAGTCAATGGGACAGTTTTAAAAGCAATGGATTTAGGTTTACCGTAATAAACTTCTTTTTGATGCTGTGAATTGTTCCAAGTAGAATAAGTTCCTTGGAAGGTAATGCTTTCCTCATCAATGGATGTGTTTACTCATTTTGAAACAAACATTTTTTCACAGAATATTGATTGAGTAGTGAATATTTATCACAATCTTTGTTTTCCTTCAGAAAAATGCAATGGAGAGAGAATTTAGAAATCTGAATCTAGATGATGCCTAATTTGATGCTTAAGTAATTGCTTAAAGTATAGGATTGATGGAACTAAAGAAAAAGACTGCATATGTTATTTTCCTGTTAAAAACTTTTATTGTAATCATTAGACTATAAATAGGACCAAATAGTTTGATACACACACCCCATACACGATCACAAGGCTTCAAGAGCATTACATTTATTAAAATTCTATTCACATTCTTTCCCAAGAAATACTTTTGCAGGTAGACAGTTTCCCTTCAGGATAAATAACTGAGAGGTAAGGGAAGATGTTGCAATTCTTTTCTGTGTCTAAATGTCATTCTGGGAATGCATGTGCTGATGAGCCTGGCTGGGTACCAGTAGCTCTGTTAGTCTAAGAATGAAGGAATCTCGTATTATTTAGTTTAGAATTACACGCAGATTGACCAACATGGTCTAGGTGTTTCTTCAAACAACTTGATGTGAAGGTATTTCTCTTCATAAAGGAAGAGAAAATGAAAGTGTTTTTCCCTCACTGATTTGTTGGCAGTTGCCATATGTTACTGAATTTTTGCTGATGATTTTCTCCTGCTGCTGGGGATTTGGTTAAATTCCCAGAAGAGCTGAGCCACATAAAGTCATCTCCATAGCAACAGCGACCCAATCTTTGCTGGGATTTGTGATGACTTGCTGTTGAGTAATCAAATTGCATGTTATTTATTTTTTCCCATGTGTGCTTGTGTATTGGAGAAATAGGTAGCTTTTCATTGTTGTGGCTAAAATTACTGCTTTTGAATTGAAAGTTTTTAAGAAGCTCTGAAATTCTGTGTCTGAAATATTAGTAGGGATGTTTTTATATTAGGGATTAAAGTTTTAATACAGACCAAGGCAGAAGTTAAAATTTTAGAAGATGAAGTTCCCATCTGAGGATGTATTTGTTGGAGAAAGAGGCTTTTATCCCAGAAAAGATTCTTAAAGGTTAATAATGAAGTCCTGAAACAAGCAGACAGCATGTATTATAGCTTTGCTTTTATTTAGACAATGGAAGACATATTTTGCAGTCAGTGTGAAATTAAAATTGTGGTTGCTAGAATTTTATACTGAATTTAAATATCCTTTTAGACATTTCTCTCTGTAGTGTAAGCTATTTTAAAAAAGGATGATGTTAATTGCATCCTATTGCCTTTTATATTATGAGTTTTAAGCTTCAGAGCTCTAGGATTCTTCATTATTTTCACAAAAGACAGTAGGGAGATGATGAGATTACGGAATCTTCTCATTTGTTTTTTTCTGTGCTTTTCCTTCCTCTTGTGAGTGATTTCTTTTGGGCATGTTTACTTGATAAGTTGCATGGTGTATTTCTACATACATATGCAAAACATATGCTACCGTTGAAAATGTGGGGATAAGTATCCCTTTAGTTACTCAGGAAATGTAGCAACCATACTTCGGTTCCAGAAACCTGCATGTTAACTAATCAGACTAATGCTCAATTTATGCAAATATATTGCAAGTACAAGTATAACCAGAATCAATCTAGAAATCATGTAGATTACAAGCTGAATAAGAAGTACTGTTATTGAAGACAAGCATTCTTGAGCATGGATGACATCTCATGAAAGTGAGACAAATGAGTTAGATTTTAGGATTTAGCAGATATTAGCAAAATTATACACAAATGGAGTGTGAAGAGTGCAGATGTGACATTACTTTAGCTTGCTACTTTGAATGCTAACTGTAGAAACTGTGTGATTTGTCTCTCTGGGGGTAGGTAGAAAAAATAACTGAACTCAACTCAATTTAGTGTTATTATTATTATCATTTTCAATACCTAAATTGTACTCATGTACTTTTTTTTTGTTAAAGTGAATCTAAAGATGAGCAATATACATTTAGTAAGAGGAGTAAGACATATCTAATGAAAATTGGATTAAATGGGTGCCACAAGATAGATAGAAACAAAGTACCCCAGGGATTTAGAAGGCCAAGAATGCAAGATAAAGATCACATGTAGGTGGGGAGATCTGCTTGTAGATACTAGCACCATAGCAACAGGAAGCAGAAAGGAAACTTGGGTGATGTTCAAAACTCAAGCAGATATTGATGAATTTCAGTAGCTAGTGGATGGCCATTTACAATTAAAGTAATAATATAGTTGGAGATGATTTAGAAAAGTTATTTTGTCTTTAAAATATAGGATAGAGCATAATAAAAGGAAGCAGAAACTGTAAAGTGTTAGAAAGCTTCCTTATAGTGAGATGGGGGTAGAAATAAGGAGTGAAGAACATAGGAGGGATTCTGTCTTCTGGCAAGGGGGAGACTGACATTGGTTTATGTATCCTTAGAACTTAATTTAGTCCCTAGAGTATTTCCCAGTAATCCTATTTTTTGAAATATAATTTGAAAAGTGATCAAATATGGGAATGAGCATTAGACACTATGAAAATCTTGTATGTTTAATTGATTTTTTGCCTTAGGGTTTCAGGCTAAAGTGACTCATTGGATGCTTGCATTTGTTCCATGTCAAGTAAAGACCCCTATAAAAAGTCATAAAATAAAATTAGGTTACCTGAAAATTTGTGCAGTCTATGCAGACATTTATCTTACTTTTCTGTCTTCGTATGGACTATAATTTTCCCTAAAAGCCAGAGTAAGTAGTTCAAGGTTGTGGGAATTCATGGGTCAAAGCTTTAAAGCTGATGCTGATTGAAATCTAGACTTCAGAGGTATGCAGCTTTGAATGACAGTTTAGAAGAAGGGATAGTGGTTAAGAATCTAGAGATCATAGCTAAAGATGAAAGATACATAGAGAGATACCAGAAGAGAGAATCTGAATAAGGTAAAATAAGAGTCTTGTACTTAGGTATAAGTCACTTGAGTTGAAGATTTTAGAGTAAATGGTTTTAACAACTTAGGAAGGGTGTTAACAATGATCAGTTCTGGTGTCAAATAGCTAGATGTTCCCCATTGATTACAGCCAAAGGCGTTGTACCAAGCATGAAAATTTATTCCAGATGGAAACTGCATCTGGCATTATAAGTCTTTGAAGACCATTATTTAGAGCCATTTTAATGCTATGCTGTTAGAATTATGTTTTGTCAAGATTTTTGAGCAATTTTGTTTGCAAAGAGTATAAAAAAGAGACTTGGAAAGAATGGAATATTTTCATATTTAATGGTAGAATTATTTGTACATCAGTATGACTTTGGGCCTAAGTGATCTGTCATGGACTTATGAGCCACGTTGCACGAGCAACAACACAAAAGTTCTTTTTGTTCCTATTATGTAGTTTACCAGATACAGATAGTTTTGAAAATTATTGGATTAGTTTTCAGTCTTCCCTGTTCTTATGGTTTCTGGTTTTCAGTCCTCTTTTTTTTTTTTTTTTTTTTATTTAAGAGGAAAAAGAGAAAAACACAAAACAAACCAAAGCGGCGTAAGGGTACACGCAATACAGAACTACAAAACAAAACAAAA